CGCCGGGGGGGTGGGGAGGGTGAGCAAGCGGCTGTGTGGTGCCTAGTTGCCAATTGGGGTTAAATCACGACAGAACAAGAATCAAAATCAAAGCTGAATAAAAGCAGTAAAGGTGCTCAGACAGCAAATGATGCAAAACAACACAGAAGACTAAGGCAGGGTCTCATGGAGACCTACCTATGCATGAATTCCCAGGAAAGGCAAGGTGAACAAAAATTGTGAGAACAATGCACATACGTAACTTGAAGCACACAAATTCTGTGCAGAGTCTCCTGTTTTGAAAGACACAAGCATGAGAGCGTGCGGTTTGAACCAGATGGGTAGCTTAAACCACATTAATCCCAGGCCAAAATGGACTCAAACAGGATAAGGCTGAAAGAGTTCCAGTTCTTCTCCACCCTCCTTCCCTAGTAGTCTAGATTGTGCTCATCACTGGCTTGTGTCGCACCACACTTCATCTCACCTCTTGATTGAACTGCTTCACTGGGCTTGATCCTGGCTTATCCACCCTCGATGGGATTCTCACCTAGATCACAAATAAGAACAGACAGATTATCCAGGGAGATGGAATTGGTCAGCATGCACACACACTTTGCTTTCTTCCCTAACAACCATCCACGTGAGAAAGCTTCCTCAATTATCAATTTTAATCGCACAGAGGTTAGGAATAAAGGGAAAGAATCTAGAGTAAGCAGCAATTTTAACATCCAGAAGAAAAGGGAATACATGTTCCACTTCCCTGTTTGCCTCAGTCTGCTGCTGAGTACAAATCAGCAACGAGTACCTGAATGACAACTCCCATCACTGGAAGGTTCAGAGTCTGTCCTGGCACAGGAGGTGGCAACTGATCAATCTCATTGCACACTGCAGGGACACAGGTAAAGAAAAAAGTTTAACCTGGAGGTCAATACAGCTAATTCAGCTGGTCCTATGAGTTCTGCCAATTTAATTATCGCTCATTCCTAGTTCGCATGTCCCCCTGGCTAGCTGCAAACACACACTCTATCAAATAATTGTGCAAGTTTAGGTCAGACACCAGACTTACGTCTGCACCACTATTCCCAGTGCAGGCCCAGCATCACTATACTGTTGATAAATCACGATTAAGTTGAATAGTGCAATAAAGACCTAGACAGGGATGTAGCATTAGCAGTTTTTTCCTCTCTCTGGGAATACATTGTATGCAAAACTGACAGCATCATCTATTAAGGTTGTCAGACATTTCCCATTAATGCATCCTTTACAGCTGTTTATAATTTTGACAAGCCAACCACTTGGATGAAAGTTTTTCCCCGTTGGAATTTGTTCCAGAATGAACTAATTTGGAACATTTCAGCTGTCTTTCAGGAACTTCCTGATAAAACCGCTGAAAGATTTCAATACGCAAACCCTCCCTCCTACATCTGACTGCTCACCTGCCTCCAGGCATGGCTCCAGCTTGTCAAAATATTCCGGAGCAATCAGCTGCAGCAATGACTGGAACAAGTTCACATATGGAAGGCGTGACACCAGCACCAAAGACTGAAAAAAGATACATTTAGGAGTCAGAGACCCCCTGACAAGATCATTTCTAGCACTGCATATACTTATACTGCTTAGTAGAGGACTACGCTTAAAAACCAACATCAAAAACGTGAAAGAGCTCAAAAGCAGCACTTTTACTGGTGGAATTCTTGCTAGCTACCTCGTTGTTGAACCCTCAGGCTTTGGGAGACCCTGGGTATCCACGCAGGCAAGGAGGTTTTTGTGTAATGAATAAGCACAGCTGGTAGCTTCTACCAGGGAGGCACCGCAACTAAGAGGGCCGAGTTTGTGACCTAGCAAAAGATCATCTGGAGGAAAAACAAAAATGCATTGCCAATAGGTTCAAAGCTACCAAAACAACCATTTCAGATGGAGAAGTGCAAAGGAGCAGACCACTGAAACTGAAATTAGGTAGATAAATAAAATAAAGGAATTCTGGGGAAGAAGAAACAAAGCAACTTGAATAATGCCAATTTGTTTTCAGCAATGCCTTTTTTTGTTGCTGTTTCAGCTTCTTTCTAATGCTTCTTTATGAAACATATCACTATTTTTAACTTTTTCAACCCAGTCTCACTGGGGGTTTTCATTACTATGCTGATTATTCTCCTCCTCTAATCATTAATGAATACATTAATTAGGATCCCATGAAAATTTCTGCAATACTCATTTAAACACTCCTTTCCAACCCAAAACTTTGCCATTTGAAATAAAAAAAATCCCACCCAAGCGTGACAATATACTTCAGGGAGGAATTCAATATGCCCACTACTTTTGTAAGTCTACCAAGGAGCAAGCGCATTAGCCTGGTATAAATATCTGTTCGGCAGGTCCCCGTGTTGTCCAGTTTCTCTAATCCTCCAACTTTTTGAGTGATCCATCCACTGCTTTAGCGGAGATGAAGAAACTCATTTCTGTATTAGCGTGTCTCTTTGAAAGAAACTCCATGTCACTGCCTAGAGGTGGAGGAGAGAAAGCACAGCAGGCCAAGTAACTGCTGGGACAGAATGGTGTCCCCATCTTCCAGCAAGTTACCAGACCGATCTATTATGAAGCATTGCTCTTTGGAGAGCAGGTGTTCAAAAGTTCATTTGTTTGAGAGGATGGCATTTTATCTTTTGATGTGAAAAAACACTACTGAAAGAGTCATTCCATGGATACATGGAGAAAAATGGATCTTAGGATCAAAGAAAAATATTTTCCTTCTCTAGAAGTCATCTGAAATTTCGCTCTCTTTCAGGCAGTGACCATAACTACCTGTCTGAATAATACAAAGCACTTTGCATATTTATGCTGAAATAAACATGCCATTTATAGTATTTTTCCCAGTGTCTGTGTCAAAGGAACTTATGGTAAGAGACAAGGTCGGTGAGGTACCAGCAGTGTCACTGCTGCTAGTTAGAAGCAATCAGCCCATCAGGAAATCCATTCCCAGATGGCTACTAGGAAGAAGAACAATTAAAGCAATAATAAGAGTAGGGTTAAGTTATAACTAGCACAGACTGCAATAACGAAGTATATCCTCTCACTATCTGTGACACTAGAGTACATACTGAAGCAAATGTTCGCGTACTTCAGGATCTCATGATTCAGACAGCAGGTCACCGCTCATGTGATTAACACACCATAGCAACCGCATCCAGGTTTGTTTGGAATTACACTTTCCATGTATTCCTGTTCTCCGTGACCTTTGCTGTTTCCTGCAGAAACACTGTGGGTGTCACGTAGGAAGTGGTGCTATTTTACAGCTATGGATAGGTGCCTTTTCACAGCTACGTACCACTTGAGAGTAGCGAGCTATCTGGTTTCAGTACTCACCTTCTGAAAATAACCTCTCTTCATCGAGCTGTCCTTGACTTGCCTGAAGTACACATAACCAAAGTAATGAGCTGACTCCCGCTGCAAGAGAGACCAACAATGCTGTTATTGAGAAACCGATTACTGCTATCGCCAAACTCCCTCCAGCCACCGACGAAACAACACACCTCACTCCTGCTGTGATACAATTACAGCACTCCCTCCTGTTTACCGAAGTTATCCAGGCTCAGCTATCTGGGAGAGTTTACCAAATGGGAAGATAGAGAGGAGATCCAAACAACTAAACTCACAAAACGTTACAGCCCCCAGGTAGCACCGTTCACTAGCCCCTTTCTGCAGCACCTTCAGGGCCATCATCTAAAGGGTTAATTGAGGTTTCCACTAATATGACCAGCTGAGCCAACCCTGGCACCCCATGCTGCCGCTGATGTGCTCTGACTGTCAGGTTTCTTTGCCAGCTAGAGGATAATGTATTGTCGAGGAAGGAATACATCATCATCTGAGAGGAGGAAATGTCCTCTTACCATACCCATTGCAGTCCTCTTTAGTCAGGCATTTAAGGCAGTACTGGTCAAACTTTGCTCAGGATGAAGCACAAAGCTGAATGATGCTTCCTTCGTAGCATCCATGAAAACTAACAGATTTAATACAAATCCCCAGTGATCATTTCAAACGCGCTGTGCCTTCTAAGTTCCCGCAGACATCAAGGAGGAAGGATAGTTATCAGTGCCGAACACAAAGACCACCCTTAATACCATTTTTTGAAGCCCCACAGGCTCCACAGTTTAAGGCACCTTTCTCTTCCCAAATACTGTTTTTCCACAACAGAATCCAGTTCTTTGGCAGTTTTACTTCCCTTACTTCTTTAAAGCTAGGTGAATCTGTGAGGCAGTGTCCGATTGCTACAAAGCAGTAAAGATGTATGCAAGCTAAAAAAATCTCTAGACCAGAATTCAAGAAAAGAAATCCTCCTACTCCCTCTTAGACCAGCAATCCATTTCTAGACTGCAAATCACAAAAGCATATCACAAAAAGATCGCAGAAGTGTTAAAAAGGCATATGCACAGGAAGCATCACCTCAAAGGAGAAAGCAGAAGAGGACAAGTTGATGAGATGGCCATCTGCTCAATTAAAAGAAGCAACAGTGCCCAGCACATCCCTTCTCTGCATGAAATGGACAGACAGTCCACTGATGGAAAGACCACAACTAACAGACACTCCTGATACTAGTGCTTGGGTACGGTTAAACCAGCCCGCATATCGCAAGCCAAAGTGTGGATTTGCTGCATGCCAATTATTCCGGCTGGTTTTATACACATAGATCCTGCAACAAATAAAAAGAACTATCATCCCTCAACGAAAGAGGTAAACTTCTAATTTACCACAGACAAAGATATTCTTGTCTTGCCTCATACAAACATGCACAGGTAGCCGTGCACTCTGTTGGATGTCACCTGTGTGCCACCATTTATCTTTTCGCTCTAGCTGGACATGACCACTGCTCTAATCTGGGGTTCCCTGATTTGGTTTCATCTCTCAGAGTAGCTGGGATTCTCAACATGGCCCTCTATGAGTATTAACGTGGAACTAAGTCCCTGTGCTGAAAGCTTTCTCCTTTTCTGACTATTCCCATGGCCAGAGCAAATGAGTGTTTTATGCACAGAAAACAAATCAAAAGTATATTTGGCTTTTAACTCAAAAACACTACTGTTTGCTTAGCAGGTATAAGTAGTGCACTGAAATGCAACTGACCTGCAGCGTTAGGGGTGCTTCTCTATTGTACTCGCCATCATCCTCGTAATGAGTGGTCCTCTGTCCCCCAGACTGACGAAGGCGGAAGCTAAATTGAGTATCCCCCAGGCCACCTGAGACAGAGAAGATCACAAATGCTCAGGAAGAAGTTTCAGTAAAGAGAAACCTGAAAATTGCTTAAATCTGAAATGCTGACATAAACAGGGATGCTGATTTACAAGGAACTCCAAAACTGAAAATGAAGTGGAGAGTAACAGCATAAACCCCAAAAACCCAGTGCAAGACAGGAAGAACACATAGCTGAACACAAGAACTGGTGTCATTAAGCTAAACCTTGCCAGGCCATTGCTGGGAAACTTACAGACATCGGCCACTATCATCAATCCTGAGTAACTGCAGCCACTTCTTATCCACAGTACTAAAAAACCTACAAACAGCCTTAATCCAAGATGACACAAACACTGATTTTAACGACAATCCCCTGCACAATAGTTCTAGCAAATGACCTAGACAAGCACCACAGCCGGGCACCTCCCAGGTCACACTATACTGCTCACCCCCTGCCAGCATACTTTGTACAGCAGGAAAAAAAGAAGCATGAAGTCCTCAGGAGGTTTCATCAGTTGGATGGGCAGAAGGAGTAGGGCTGAGTACGTACAAAGAGGTCAGCTATGAGGAAAGAGTTAAACACGCTAAGCTCACTGAACGAAAACCACGGCTAAACAGACTAAGGCACTACAACGGGGTAAGGGGACATACTCCTTCCCGCTGTTTGCAGATGCTATGCTCCAAAGAAGAGTAAAGACTGTTGTGTGTGTTATGAAGATATTAATATTAGTAAATAATTTACTTTAATAAAAGGGACATTTAGCCTGAGTGTTCACTAAGCTCTGAGAAACTAGTGAAAGTACAACCTTAAAAACACTTAAAACTAAACTACGCAAAGCTGTAGAAAACTAACAGTCAAGAACCAGTCTTAAAGAAACAGGTACTGGAACGAATTAACATGCTTATTTCTTATTGCCACCTTTCTGATTTATAAATACAAACTTTGGGAATACTTCCACTGTGAAAGCATCCTCTCCCCATCTGCTTCTCTTCACCGAGCACTTCACTCAGAAACACAGAAATGCTGACAGTCAACAGCTGCAAACCTCAGGCTACCCACCCTTCGTGGCTTTTTTTTATATTTTATTGGCACAAGCGAAGCATGAGTGTGCAAGCTTATCAAGTAATTGTCCTGTCACCCACTAGATCGCAGATTCTATATCCAGAGAGCAATCAAAATGACAAGAAGCCTCTTTGTTCAGACCTAAGGGCTGTGTGCTCCTTGATGTCACAGTTCTGGAAGATACAGCCCATCAGTCTCTGCTGCATTAGAGGCGATGACTCGCTCTTTCCATCATGAACCCATTTCTTTCACAACGGCAACGAACCGTCCCGCAGGCTGCAGGCAAGGCCAACAGATGCTACCTACCTGAGTAGGAGTCTGGGAAGGACAAGTAGCAGATACTAGTTTTCTGCAACAAACAAAAACACAGAGTAAGAAAACCTCCATCACCGCTGCTCAGGATCTTTAAAACTAGGAAAAAAAAGAAAATAAAAATAGTTATTACCTCTTTCTCTGTTAGTCTAAAGTCATAAGGATACACCAACTGCAAAAGAGATAAGAGTCAGTAAGTCAATCAACTCTGTTCCCCCATGACTTCTACATAGATCTATAACCATTGCTTCCATACAATAAGTGCCTTATTTCTCCCAGAGTAACATATCCTACAAGAAGGTACATCTACCCATTTAAAATCTGATTGTCAATAGCCCACTGCACTGAACTCATCACAGAATCTGTATTTATTCTAGCAGATTTGGAGACAGACAGAATAGCTTATATTTTACTTGGATTTTAACTTGAGAGTTGATAGCTCGGTGAACAAACAGCCCCACCACCCAGTTGGTAACTTCTCTGTACAGACTACTGATGTGCAAACATCTGTTTGCTCTAAAGCAGGCAGGAGAGAACTATTCCAATGCTGCTTGAAATTATCTTAATGTATACTTACTCTCCAAGCTCCAAGCCTGGAAAGCATTAATATTCAATTTTGCACCTAAATACAAGTTTAAAAATTGCGCAAAATAATGTCCTATGTGGAAAGTTTTGGACTTTGTGTATTTCTAATTGTTGTTTGGAGGAGGGTCACTTTTTATTTTGATTTTTTAAATCTTGCTAAGAAGTCAATTACAATTCACTAAACCCACCAAATATTCTGAAGGAGTGAGGAAGGCTGGCATCATGAGCTGCTGAGAGGTAAAAACAGATTTCACAGCAATGAAATGAGAAGACAGACAGTGGGGACGGAGTAAGAATGGCTTTAAAAATGAAGCTATGCATAGATGCAATGAGGTGTGGAAAGAAGAGCCACTGGAGGATGGCACAGAGAGCATTAACAGCCGTGGCTGGGGAAACAACCTTTGCAGCAGCATTCTGCGAAGATACAGGCAGGGCAAGATTACCGTCCTCAAGGGCAGAGGGAAGGATGTGGCAATAATCAAGAGTGAGACAATGATAGTCCGGACAAAGGTTCTAGCTGTATGAAGAGAATAGAAAACAATATATCCTACGTACACTAAACAATATGAAGTCTGGTGTTAGAAACAAACTTGGGTATGTATCTTAGCCTCCAGGCTGAAAATGCTTATTTAGCAGTCCTAAGTGACTGGTCAGGTAAAGATGCTGCTCACAGTGACCAAAAAGCAGAAAATGGGCAGCAGGAGAAGTTTGAGAGGCTTTGGAGCTCTGGTTTAGCCTCCCTGATTTGATCTGTTGTTAGAAAGACAAGCCAAGGTTTATTTTGTACAGAAAGAGATGGGTCTGGCACAGGCTTGAAGAGTCATGCTTTGTCAGCATACCAGTGACAGCTGAATTGTGTTACACCCAATTTATCATCGAGCATTTCAGATAAGAGAGAGCATCAAGAATTTTAAAGCACCTAGTTAAAAACTCTAGCTTTGCAGCTGAACTATGTAAATGCTGATAACAGTCCTTCTGCATTTACTGTAACCCAATAAAAGAGAAGTCAATGCAAGACTTCTCAGGTCAGGGCTGAGGGCAGAACTGCAAGCAAGATCCACTACAGAAACAATCACGCTGAGAAGTGATAAATGACACAGCTACAGCAATAATGAGTTTCACATGTCACTGGGCAGAGGATAGAAACCGAAGTACTTACAAATCTATAGAAGTAAAGTACACAGCCTTTATAGCACTTACTGATCGGGAAATGCAGGAATTGCAGGCGGCTTTAAATAAGCGGATGAGAAAGAAACTAGCACTGAATGACTTGAAAAACGGAGTTCTGCTCATCAGACTTCTGCAGCTCCCGGGCAGTAACTCTGCTTCAGGTCAGTGTGCGAGTCATCTGGTACTCAAATCAGGAGCTGTCTTCAGTGCTTGACTCTTCTTACAAGTCTATAAATAGCAAGGGTGGCACCGCGCCAGAGTGCTGGCAGTTCACTGAGCTAGCTCGCTTCGCTCTAACAATTCCCCACTGATTCCTTGGCAAGGTCATCTAATCAGCTTCAGAGAGTGAGCCAAATTAACAATTAAAAATTACGCTGATTAGCCTTCCGTTCAAGCTTCTCTGAAAGACAAAAGCTACAAAAATACAGGAGCAAAATTATCACATACAAGCTACAGCGATGAGGCAGCACATTAAGGCACGACCAGAGAATGAAGGCTTTTTAGACACTGAAGCATGAAGAGATGCATTACAGCTACGCCACAGGAGGAGCCAGACTTCTCTGCTTGCTGTATTTTTGCATTAGGCGACTGAATAAATTCTTGTGGTTATGACTAATTTAATGATCACACAAACATTTATTTTGTTAATTCCTATGTAATAATGGACAGAGCAGGAACAGAGACCTGGACATCTGACGCCAATTCATCAAGAAGCTCAGGAATCTCACAGCATCCTGCTTTCTGCAATGCTTGCTGATGATCTAAACTTAAGTTCAAGAGTCAAGACAGACTTCTAATTCTCCTGCTGCCTTTTCTGGGGGGTCTTTCTGCAAGTAAATCAAACCAGAAGTGGATATTGACGGCTCCTAGCTGCTTTGTGGGTCCAAGTTTAAGATATGCTAAGCGTACGTTTCACTTGGAGATGTGTGCTCAGCATTTTGGGGAGGGGGAGGGGGAAAAAGAAAAGAAAAAAAAAAAATCAGACTCAAATCTTATTGACTGAGCATAGAAGCACCGACGGACCCAAAAATTCAGATACCGTGTGTTTGAAAAATAGGCCTTATCTTCTGTATCTTTGCTTCCCCTTCAGTTTAACAGTCTGACGTGTACTTCTACATTTGAGGTGGGGGGGAAATCACTAAATATTTACAAGATTAAAAACCCAATCTGAAATAGTAAGAATCCTAGTCACTAGAACTTTTCAAAAGCAAAAAGACAGTAAGCGAAAAGGAACTTTTTATCTGTAGAAGTCCCTGGATATCTCAGAAGTAGCCCAAAAGGGCTTAAATTATGTCATAACTTGTGATGTAGCTCTCTCCCATCAATACTGACTTAACAAGCGCGGAGGTGACACATGTTGTTGAAAACAGATCCTTGCACTAAAGCTTTGCTGTTGATATCAGCACGGGTGGCAAGTACTCTGCTGCTGTCATAGCAACACGGAGAACATCCCAGAAAATGACTTCTGGTGACTCTGAAGTAACCCAGCTTCACAAAGTGCCTGTGTTTGGAAAGCTCGAGGAGGGAGGAGCCAGTGCCGTTGTGAAAAGGGATATTTCAGAACCACGGGGATGAATCTTCAGCGTTTCTATGACAGCGGCACCAGAGAAGTCAGAGCCCTTGCGGAGTCGGACGGCGAACGGCTGGTGGGGAGGGCTGCTCCCGCAGGACACAGACTGCTTGTCTGCGGAGAGGATTGTCTCAGAAACGTGTCTTCTCTCTCCCCGGTATTTTTGCCATCTGTAGTTGACTACTGGAAGAAATGTAAATTGGTGGATGACCCAGAAACAGCAATTATACCTAATTTCTGCATTAACCTATGTTTTCCTTTGTAACACCTTTTCTACTGTATATTTAAATAGCAGGAGAGTGGGACTCACTGAATTTCAGGCCGATGGTGTGTCCACACTGCGAGACGACTGCACAGAACACAAGTCACGCAATATTCAGAAACCTCAGCAGACCCTAAACAAGCTCTTGGCTGCGAAGTTATACCCACAGAGCCTACCCCATTCCAGGGGTAATTCTGCCTTTCTACTCAGTGTCGCTGAAGACAACACACACTAAGCAGGCTTCAACAGCGTGGCTTCCGCATAGATTTGGGCAGCAAGGGAAGAAAAGAGATGTTTTATCTGGAAAGAATCCTATACTCAGGAAAAAGTAATCTTCAGGAAAGGATGACAAGGTTTCAGCACAGAAACCCTGACTGAGACAGGCCTGCTCCTAAAGCAGAACTGCAGGGGACATCCTACGGTTGGACGAGGGATGCCTGCATCCTCACACGCTGATTTACAGAGATGATGCAAAAGTATGGTGCAACCTCCAGAACGGGAGGTTTCCCTTCCTTCTGACTCACTTTGCTGTCAGCATGTGAGGTAGCGCAAGTTACTCCAAGTATTTGTATCCTGTCACTCTGTGTAATCCTTAGGTGCGTGAACAACAGCCCCTGTGCATAAATCACTCTTTAGAGGGATATACATACATCCACAAAACCACAGAGAGCTCTGTCAAGATCTAATCTCGGTCAGCTACACTGATCTGGTAATGTCTATGGCAAACTTCCCGTGCAAACCCAGCCAGGGCTGAAGTCCCACAGGGCTGGGTGCCACAGATGCATTTCTTTAACCCAGAAACTTGCAGTCGAGAGCCCAAATCATAAAACTCCCTCTTTTCAGCTGCAGAAATCAGCCTGCTTGGAGACAAGCCACAGGATCTGGACCTAATCTAAAACAACCAAGGCAACAGATGGAAATAGGGAATAAGCAGGAAGATAATGACACCACTTGACTACTGGAAATAGTGACATTTACACTTTTTCAAAATTTTTAAATAATTTTACTTGGAATTCCCCAGTAAGACAGTAACAGCTTGAGCTTTTTTATTTTCCCAACGCCATCAAGAATGGAACATGGGATCTTTATCACACAGCTTCTCCTCTGCCTGGCTTCCTTTCTGGAAGGAACGGTCTTACCCAACGCAGACCCCTGTTCCTTGCCCAAACCCTTCGCTCAGAGACAGAAATCCACAATGGACAAGCCAAAGGAAAAGTGTCGGTGGGGTTGTGTCATCACTCAGTCCAGATGCTGAGGTGTTCCCAGTCTTCTTGGTCATTTATGCACATGAGAAACATTTTTCCCATCAATACTTATATAGGCAAAGGAGGAAAAGGGAGGAAAGGAAGAAAAAGAAGAAAAAATACCTTTCCAGGGATTAACAAACCGTACTACTGCACACCCTGACCACAAAGTCCCCTCCTTATAATGCTAGACAGCTAACTTGATCTTTACCGCTTTCCATTCCCTTCAGAAGCTTCAGCATGACTTTAAAAATGGAAAGTCTCAATCCTCCACAAAACAACATTAACCTCCTTACACAAAGGCGAAGCGAGGAGTACTTCCCACAATTACACAACAAATATCAAGGAATTCGAGATAATGCCTTAGGTCCAGCATAATCCAGAGATACCTAGTCCTCTTATGTTGCATTTTCACGGAACACCAACCAGCTCTTGCCTTCAGTCACATTACAAGCCTTAGGTATCTAACTCCCTTCAAATCCTCTTTCAGAGGCAAACAGCACGATCTTCCAGGGAATAGGGAAAAACTGTTCCAACCCCTTCACGCCCAGTTCATCCTCTCTGGCCCCCCAATGAGCCCCACAGGCACATGTGTCTTCCTAGGAGGGAATGACAGGAGGGAAGCCTCCTACACCACAGGTCCTCAGGCTGACAGAGCCGCCTCAGCCCCCCGCTCCACTGTGCCCCATTGTCTCACCATCACTCCCCCACTTCCCACCCAGCTCCCGACTCCTTCCCTATCGCTGTCCTGCGACACCCACCTCAGCCCCTCCTTAGCGCCTGCTGACCCCACACATCAGAGCTGTATTTCCCAGCAAGATTCAGCGCTACCCCGGGCCTTCCTGCGTCCGCGGGCTGTTTTCCACAACCCTTCCTCCACAGCCTTCTCCCCGCCACCCTCCTCCCTTCACAGCCTGCTCCCCCCCCTCGGCAGGTCTGCAACACACTCCC